CTGCATTTTAACCACTGCGCCACCTTGGCTCTTTTCATCTTGATGATATGCGGACGGGCGGGGGGAGGGAGCTGGAACCGGTTCTAAATGGCACTGTAGATTTGTGGAACCTCTTCTATAGAAGAGGTTAGAACTGGCAGGAACCCACCACTGCTGGAGAGGGCCCGTTTTCTACTTCCGGTGCCTAGTAGGTCTGTTTTTCGCCCTCTACAGGCTTCAGGATGCTTCCCTGAAGCTTCCGGAGAGTGAAAAACAGCCCAATGCGCGAACTGGAAGTCTGTTCCTGAACTTCCGGTTTGCACATTGGGTGGTTTTTCACCCTCCGGAGGCTTCAGCAAAAAATGGCCAAAAATTAGCTGGCCAGTGCACACATGCGCGTTGGACCTGACAGGGCAATGCCTTGCGTGCTTTCAGAAATGGCTCCCCATGCCACAGGTTCGCTATCACGGCATTAGATAATAGCAATATGAAATGAGGACCCGGATTGTTCTTGGGGGAAATATGCTGACTCTGTAAACCGCTTAGAGAGGGCTGAAAGCCCTATGAAGCGGTATATAAGTCTAACTGCTATTGCTATAGCACTCAGACTACTATACCGCTTTACGGTGCTTTACAGCCCTCTCTGAGCAGTTTAAAGAATCAGCCTCTTGCCCCCAACAATTTGGGTCCTCATTTTACACACCTCGGAAGGATGGAAGGCTGAGTCAATCTTGAGCCTGGCGAGATTTGAACTGCCAAATTGCAAGCAGCCGGCAGTCAGCAGAAGAAGCCTGCAGTATTGCACTCTAACCACTGCGCCACCGTGATGTGCAAATCTGTTGTTTCTAGCTTCCTCGAGTACAAAATCACTCCAGTGATTGGGAGAGTATAAAACTTGTTAATTTCCATCTCCTGAAGTGAGACATTTCAGGAACTTTTTTGCGATAATTTAGAAAAAAACCCAAACCACCTCTTTGATAGTTCCAGTGTTCATTGTGCGTTTGCAGATATATATATTTTTAGGGGCGGGGGGTGGGAATAATGGCCACAGTTTATGTATCATGGGAAGATTGATTAGAATAGAGATTGGCCAAGCAGCATTTGCAATGAGGTTTTTTGAATTTTAGCCCAAAACTTTTACAGTAGTGTTCTTTTTATTTTACCCATATAACGATGCATAAGACCTTGATAAAATGAATTGGTTAACTATTACTAATACAATAGTAGCTAGAAAATATTTGAGCCAATGTTTTTTTAAGTTTTCTGATCTAAAACCCCCAGAAGAAACTCAATTCCACAAATCATGTTCTATGACATATTCATTATGGCTTATATGACTGCACAGTTTGTCTAAAGAAATTTGCAGTTTCTATAAAAAGGTCTGATTTTAAAAGCATTGGGTCTCATTTAATTAAAACAAAACCTGAAGGACGATACATATTTTGATGACTTGTGCTGTTGGCAACTGAGTTGGTAAAATGCTAAGTATGCTTTCTACTCATTGCCCTTGTTCCAATTTAAATTTTCCATGCCCAGATACAATCTTGACAAGTTATGTATCCTTTAAAAGAAAGTGCTAATTAGCACAGGATTAAGCTGAGCTGCCGAATACTTCTGGCAGATTTGCTATAGACCCACTGATGTTCTCAGTCAGTGATGAAATAATGTGTGTGTTTGTGTGTGTATAAGCAGGCTCTCTTCATGAAACCTTGTTCATCATTATTAACACCTCTTAATGAAAAATTTTGCTGATGGATTTCTCCAAAGATTTATCAGTTACTCGAAGTGTGCGGGACTTTGTCACATATTTTCTGAGTGTTGAATGTTTCATGGTAGCCTTATTGCCAACTAGAATTGTATTTCAAAATTGTTAACTGTAGAAATTTAACAGTTAATATTATGAAGCTGATCTTTAGGCCTGGGCACAGTCTGATGCCAGTCTATTAACTTTGGGCATTGAACTGCCTATTGGCTTCTGCATAAAAGCTTTATATGATTCATTTCACAATTTCACAATTATAGTGAAAGTGTCAAGTATCTGCCATCATTTTATTTGCATCTGTGATAGAAGAACAGTATAGTAGAAATAGGATCCTATAAACTTTTAATCTTGTTCTAAGGTGAATATTAAAAATATGCTGTCCCCTTAATACCATACCATCATCATATCCAAATAATTAAAGTAGGACATTTAGAAAGAGTTAATAGATTAACAGTATCCTGATTAATTGGACAGCTCTTTCCTTGTGATATATAACTGGATGCCGTTCAATCATACAAATCAATTTACGACACAAAATAACAACATTTGCAAAATGTACTAAGTAAAATAATACCATCTATCATACATTATGGTTTTCTCTTATGCATAGACATAATTTTAAAAGAACCCTTTTTATTTGAATGTAAATCATTTTTGCATTTAATCTACAAATGGCATTTAACTTCTATCAGTGGGGGAAGCATTCTGACTGTTCTTCTGTATGGTGATCAATACAACACATGTTTTCATAGTCCCAGAATTATTTTTACAGTAAGATTTTTGCCTTTCAGATTCTGCTGTGCTGTTCTAGTAATGGCCATTACGACTCTGTTTATACCAAAAAATTTCAAGCCAATGCTGCAATCTGCCAGGGTAAATAAATCATTGCCTTTTCTATCCTACCACTCTGTTTTAAGAAGCATAATAATAAATCTATCCCATGTGAAATGTTAGCTAAGAATATCCCAGAAATCCCCTATTTTTAAAAGCTTTAGTTGTGCCTGTCCCTTGGTCGTTCTATAGAGCAGGACTCTCTATCCCCCTATTGTGCATGTCATCTTCAGATCTGCCTTGGTCATCCTGGTCACCATCCTTTATAATTTCCAGCCAATGGGTGCTAGGTTGGCCCCTTCTCCTTTTTCTGCTGATCACTCCCAGCATGATTGGCTTTTCGCGTGAGTCAGCTCTCATGACATGACCATAGTATGACAACCTCTGTTTGGTGACCTTGGTGAGGTTTGGTCTAGGGCAGTGTGACAACCTCTGTTTGGTGACCTTGGTGAGGTTTGGTCTAGGGCAGTGTTTCTCAACCTTGGCAACTTGAAGATGTCCATACGTCAACTCTCAGAATTCCCCAGCCAGTATTTGCTGGCTGAGGAATTCTGGGAGTTGAAGTCCAGACATCTTCAAGTTGCCGTGGTTGAGAAACACTGGTCTAGGGGTTCTTTGTTATTTTTTCAGCCCACGGGATGTGTAACCATTGTGTAACAGTTGCCTCCAACACCACAGTTCAAAGGTTTTTGGGAAGTATCTTACCTGTGGTTGGAGGAAAAAAAAGGAGTTTGGAAATGAAGAAAGCTAAAAAAATAAGTAGATAATACACTAGCTAAGTTAGTATGTGTACAATGAGAATAATGATGTTTAATGTTGATATTATTACTAGAAGATATTAAGGAGAAAAATGGAGTGTTTTATAATGCTTAATATATTATAATCCTAGGCTTAGGGAAATAATGTTAATATGAATGTGAAAGATGTGAAAAAAGAGGAACGATGTTGCACAGAGATGTGTGTACCCAGACGATACACTGCATAAGGAAAGATGGAATGTTTATTTTTGTAATTAAAAAATAATAAAACTCTTAAGAAAAAAAGGTGTCCACCCTTTTCTCCTATCTGCCTGTTTAAAGTCCACATTTCACAGTCATAAATAGCAATTGGAGAAAAATTATTGTGTTAAAAAGTGTTCCAGCTTGTAAACATTTTATAAAGATGCAACTCTTTGTTTGTCTAGCTGTCCTCTATGAAATTCTATACAAAAATGTCTTCAAAGTGGATGAAGAAGAATTGAAGACTGCCCTTGAGATGTTTCGAAATGGGGCTAAGAAAAACAGAAACAGTGCATCTGTTGGCAGCGAAGATGCAAATTTTGATTGCCTTCCTGACAGGGCATCCAGAAATGTTCCGGAAAAGAGGTACGCTCTGAAAATTAAAGAATTACAGTTAAAGTCTCAGTAGGTTTCATGAGATGGTGTTCCAGAGCATCTTAACATCTCATGTCTAAGCTGGGAAAACTCAATAAGAGGATTGATGGTCAACCCTTTTGCTACCTTTAGCACAACTGGCTGTTCCCAATTTAGCAGTCTTTTTTAGTAGTCAGCCAAAATAAATTTTTCCAATGAATTCTGGAAGTTGCTCTTTAACAAATTTAAAGAGAGGGCACACTGGGTGAAAGAAAGCTGTTATTGTTTTGACCGAGGCTTCCTTAGAAAGCAAGAAGCAAAATCTTGGTCCTGACAAAACCTCTTTTATTTACACGACTGTGAATTCCTTTCATTCACAGTCAGCAAGGCTTAGCAAACAGTCTTTTAGAGGAATGTTTATCAACATGAACCTTATCTCCTTTGGAGAGCTGCCAGATAACTAGTTACCAATTGCACGGCAAGGCAAAACGTGGCACAGAGTCTTTTATAGTCACAAACAGAACTTTCTGGACTGAATGAACAAATTGTTTCCTGCAAAAACCCACTCCCTGTCCTTTTTTGTTTCCTATGGGAGGGGCCAATCACCTTCAAGGTGTGGCTTTACTCTTAAGTCGACCCTGCTTTCTTAGTTGTCCTTGTCTTCTGGCAGCTCTGCGCATGTGCACTCTGGGAACAGGCTCCAGCTGTTCCTCTTTTTTCAC